ACAGTGGCTCAGGTTGGGAACTGATTTTATTTTCATTCATGTGATAACAACATGACATCAAACAAAATGATGTTATTCAGCACCTAATGTACAACTGAAAGTCTTGGCCACCCGAGATCCTTGAGATCAGCAGCTGGAGATCTGGGATGTAGTTCAGAATTCCAGTATCAGCTCCCAATAGGGAGCTCCTGCCCTGCTCAGTCAATGGCAGAAGCAGTCTGGGGACAGCATGGCACCAGCTGGAATACTGAGGTAGATCCCGGAGATCTTCAGCAGGAGCCTGTCAGCCGACTGCACTCCTCACACAGACCCTCTCCTGAAGGGGGTCTCAGAGGCACCTGTGGCTACCACACTTCTTTTGGTCAAAGCACAGCTTCCTGAGTTGTAGCACTTAGCTTACGCTGTGTAATAGCACCAGTGTAAAACAGTGGCTTTAAAAATTTTTATATATTAATTTGATATGTTTTACATAATAAAAGTGTTTTCCAAGTATTGGAAAGTTGGCTTTGCCAGCTCTGCTGATCTCAGATTTGCTCACATGGAGTCAGGTGTTTGTCATCTAATCTAGCCTGGCCTCCACTGGAGCAACAAGAATGTGGTAGCCAGCATCTCTCATCCTCCAGCAGGCTGGCCTGGACTTGCCCTTCTCTCAGCACCGTTAGAAGCACACGAGGAAGCAAATGAAGACACACAAGGCCTCTTGAGGCTTACACTTAGAACTGGTATGCCTTCACTGCTGTCTCCTTACATTGGCTGAAAGAGGTCACATGGTTGGAGGCACTGCAAAGTTACATAGCAATGGACATGGACATAGGGAAGGGTGGAGGATTGGAGTCATCTTCGCAAACAAGCACAGGACCAAGTGGATCATAAAGGATTTGTTTTCTTTTTCCCTAAGCGTCATTGCTGATGTTGGGGTTATCAGTCATAAACTGAGAGTGTTACAATCTCACCAATGCACCACAATGTAGCAGTCTCTCATTGCCCAAGGTATCACCTAAAGTTCTTTGTCTCACAACCAAGAAAATTAAGGAGCATGGACCCCAAAGACGAGGTTGCAGCAAAAGTTTAAAAAGCAAAAAAAAGCTCTCCGCTGCCAACAAGGGGCCCAAAAGATGGTTGTCATTTCACAGTTGAATATAAAGGCTTTTATAAGAAATTGATGAGAGCTGGACATCTCATTTGCATAAGGCATGAATTTCTGGTAGTTTCACCCTGTCCTCTGGTGTACATGCATGCTCTTAGCTTGAGTTACTCCATGTGGCTTTGTTCCCCTTACTGTACATGTCTCAGGAGATAGAATTTTCCATTGTGAGCATGTCTGGGCACGTCTCTTGTGTAGCCTTTCTTACCGATACAGCTGTGAACATGTCTAAGGCAAGCCCCCCATGCAAGTTATTTTATCTGTGCCTGCAGTTTGATTTTTCAAGCTGTCCTTTTATTTGAAAGAATTTTACCAAGGACCCACTCTAACTGCCTGCCTTCCTTCATCCTCTCTCATTCCCCACTTTAGGAGTGGAGACCCCAACTGCTGTTGGGGGAAGTGGACGATGACCGTTCCTGGCTGCTTCCTGCTGGAAGGGGGTGTCGTTGGGGTTACAGCAGTTAGGGCTCCTCCTAAGATTGGTCTAAGGGTCCCTGGAAGAATGGTGTGTCTATGCGTCATTCCATCTGCAGCACCATTTGGTCTTTAATAGCCTCTAAGTGAGAGGAAACAGTTTGAGTTACAGTATTGAATACACAAAGTCCAAACATTCATACAAAACACACAAGCAAAATGGGACCTAATAAAGGAGCTAACCAGTTCCACAAAGAAGAATGGAATCCATTAAGGAGGGATTACAGCCAGCTGGGACTGGAGCCCACATTTTCTCTTAATCTGTCAATGATTCTAATTTGATCTTTAAGCACCTGTAGGTTTTCTTCTACTTGACTAGAGGTGTTGATCTGGAGGTGACATGTTTCTTTTAAAAAGTGCACAGGTACCCCCTACTTTGGCCATAAGGATATCTAAGGCCTGTCTATTTTGCATAACTACTGAGGCTAAAGAGATTTTGGATTATTGTTGTGTTTCTATGGCTCCTACTGTTGCCTTCTACTCTCGTTGCATCATAATAGAAATATTAAGTACTGATCTTTCAAGGAGAGGAATACCAGCAAACCAGAATAGGCCTCTAGCTATAAAATCCCCTATCCGTGGTTTTTCTAAGATAGGACTGTCATGTGTACGTCCTACCCAATCTTCTCCTTCAGTTAAATCTCCATACAAGGGCATGGAAATGACAGACCTCTTTGTTTGGTGCATCTGAAATCACACACTCGCTAGAAAAGAGGATACGTTAGGGATGTCCCCAGATGATGCTGCCATACCAGTGGAATTTAAAAATAATAAGTCAGGGACCACTGCCACAATAGTGCAGGTTTCCTTTCAGTGCCTAGGGAGGATTAAGTGTAGCCAGGAGCCACAAAGGAAATAAAACTCTGTCCCTTGAAGGTCCAGTTCTGAGTTGTAGCTTGTGAGAGACTCAGGCAGATCTTTCTCATATCTTAGGAGCTTCCCCCTCTTACATATAATAGGAACATCTTTGGCATAGGGATATCCATACTCAGGATAGTCACTCATGATGCCATGTGGAATTTTACATGCTAAATGAGAAGGGTCCACTTGACAAATGGAGTTTTAAAAGACCAGGGACACAGTATGTCCCAGCCAATATCTCAGATAAGCCTTGTGGCAGGGGCTCTCAGTCCAGAAGTCTCCTGTACACCCACAGATTTGTAGGCCACTACTACTAAGCATCATGCAAAAGGGTCTGGAATTCCATGAGGGTGCATGTCTGGGAAGGCCCATGTGTTATTTTTTACATTATAATGCCATGTGTCAGGGCAGTTAACCAGAGCCCGCCATTCCCAGCAGGACTTCCAACCAGGAGAAGAGGCTAGATTCCGAAAGCCTCCCCATATGGCTTCCAATTTTCTTAGATCATCCTTATTGTGTCTTTTTCTCCAAGTGTCTGAGCTTTCAGCAATTACAAGTGTGTTGTTACATATCTGAGATCTCCCAGCTATGATCTTTTCCCTCTGCTTTTAAAGCAGGAAGAGGCATTTGCTATTACCCTGCCGACTTTTCTTACCCTGAGGGTGTGAAGCTTTCTTTAGGGAAAGTGTTTTCTGGTATCAGGGAGGAAATGCTTTCCTGGGAGGAGTTAGTTACCCACTTGAAAGTGCTCCCATACCATGTTCCATTCATGCCTGATAAGTCTTCAATGGTTAAAGGTAAATCTAAGAAAGGGAATCTTAAGACAGTAAGAACCAGGTCATGAAGAGGTCCCTTAGTGTTACTGAACTGAGCAAACCACTCAGGTCAGACTCAGCAATTAGTCTCATATAAATGGGCCATGGCTGATACTGCAGAGGCTAAAGGGTGTGATGTATTCCCAAACCCCGTTAAAAGCCCTAGCAGACTCAGCAATAGTAAAACTTTCATGTTTACTTTTTGTCTGTGACTATTATCCCTGCTATAAGGATCATAACTAAGCCAAGTATCACAGCAATTGAGACCATCTGTCCAATATATTCCAGTCAGGAGGTGCTACAGTCAGGATTCAGAATCCAGTCAGGATTCCTACAGGAGGTACAGTGTATAGCCCTACTGCAAAAAGTAAAGTCAGCAAAATAATCCCTGCAAGTATGGTGTGGTGAACGATTTCCATCTGAGGTTTTATCAGTTAAAATGCTGAACTTCCCTTTGCAGGTCTGTAAAATTACAGATCTGATCCCACGGACAATCAAAGTCTCCTCGCAAATATGCGTGAAAAAGAAGTTGCAACACTTGACAATGGTAGATCTCGAAAGGAAAGGTGGAAATAATGGAAGGAATCTGGCAGGGTAAAGGTAGGACCGAGCTAGACAGGTCGTCCTCATTCATTTACTTATCTTTTGTTCTTTTCAGTTTAAGGTCCCCAACTTCTTCACATCAGTATCTGGGATGCTCTTCTGGGCTGTCAGGGGCTGCTGCCTCTGCTTTCCAAGCCTGGCTGAAGTGTGATAAATCCAAGAGTTGATTCCTGCAACTTTCACAGCTGAATAGGTGGAAACAGTATAGGTCCCTCCCACCTGTAGCCTAGAGAGGAGGAAAGAGAAGAGAGAGCCTTCACCAGTACTAAGTCTCCCAGGTTCAATAAAGCTTGTCCTATTTATTGGGGTTGGGCTTCCAGGTGCTGTTTTAATTCCCATTGGAAGTGGCCCAGGGAGGTTATATGTTTGACTAATTCAGAGATTTCCTGGTCTAGTAAGAGATCATTGATAAGGAAAGGCCACCCGTTCGTAATTTCAAAAGGGCTCAAATCCAACTTTGAAGGAGTATTTCTTATCCTCAGTAGAGCTAAGGGGAGATTCACCCAAGAAAGGTGAATCCCCTGAGAGAGAGTTTTCTGAGGTATCTTTTGATAATATCATTTGTTTTCTCCACCTTTCCTGAATATTGTGGTCTCCAGGCACAATGAAGATGGCACTGTATGCCTAGTGCCTTTTGAGCCCCACTAGATAGAGGCCACTTTAAATGAGGAGCCACTGTCACTTTGGAAGTACTTAGGGAGCCCAAAGTGAGAACTTATTTATTTATTAGTATTCTCACCTCCTCAGAGGTCTTTTCTGTTTGTCATGGGAATGCCTCTACCCAGTTAATGAAGGTATCCACCCACACCAAAAGATAATTGAATGCCATTTATTTTAGGCATATGGGTGAAATCTATCTGCCAGTCCTCCCCTGGGTAACTTCCCATCCTCTGAGTGTGGCAGGGAACAAGCCATCTGTTAAGGGGATTATTTTTAAGATGAGTTTCACAAGCATTAATGACCTATTTGACCATTTTCAGTAGAGTGTTCCCTAGAGGTTTGTTTCTCAGAGTTGGGAGAGTTATCCTCTGTGGACTTGCCTGATGTAACTGCTAGGAGAGCAGAGTCAATTCTACAACACTGACAAAGATCTGAGTTGTCTTGCAAGGCAAAGAAGGCTTGCACATAAGGCACCTCAGACCATTTGCCCTCCTATCTATGGAAAAGATCTAGTTGTTGAATGGTATTAAAATTAACACTTCCCTCAGAAGGCCAGGCCTCCCCATCCTGCAGCTGGTAAGATGGCCACGCCTGAGTGCAAAAGAATACAAGGTACTCTTTCTTCAGAGTCTGAATGTCAAAGGAGTTCCAGTGTTTCAGAATGTACTTGAGAAGAGATGGCTGGAGATGATTTGTTATACAACTGGAGATTAGTTGTTACACATCTAGAAAAAGAGGAGAGAAAAGGCAACCTGTAGTCTCCTTTGTCCTTCTGCAGTGACCCAGGGCAGAGAGAAGACAGAAGGGGCAACCCCTTCTCCTCTTCCCCACCATTTCCTCAGGTTCCTGGCGACCATTATAGGTGCTGCCCAAGGATGCAAGTATGACCTTCACCCATGAATATGGAGGAGCTAGCTTGTGCTCACCTGCACAAGGCTCTAGCTCTCCACCCTGCTGGTTTCCTAGATCTACTTGGCCCATAAGGCTCCCAAGATTCCCCAGGGCCCTGGGAGAGATTGTGCAGTAGCTGAATTTGGGCAAGACCCTTTAAGGAAGGGAGCATCTTAACTTTATCCTTACATCCTCTTACTACCATCCAGGCAGAGTTATGAATTCCTAGAGAATGAGACGGATTGACTTCTAAACATAAGACCCCTTTCTCACTTAGATGCCAATGTAGCTGGAGGCAGAACAGATGCCTCAAAAGAATGTAAGAACTGAATGGCTGTTGTCCCTCCGATGGGGATAACACTGAGGCTAAAATCTGTCTTGCTAGGGTGGCTTTCTCTTGGCTGTTGAAAGGGGAGTTTTTCTGCTTACAAATAGGGAATGGGGGCTGATCACTGAGAGAGGGACGTAAGAGGAAAAGGAATAGGAGAACCAGGGTTTTGGGCAAAGGGCCAAGAAGGCTTCTCACAGAGAGAAAAATCCCATCCCACTAGGTGGCACTGTAGGGTTTGAAATATTAGGAGAAATCTCTGACTCCAAATTCTTTCCAAGCAAAGGTTAGAAAGAGAGGTTTGGGGCTTCATAGGCTATTCCCATAATATGCCGCCCAGCAGAAAAAGACTAGTTTGTCTCATAAAGGGATTGCTTAAATTCACTGGGCAATGCTGAGCTCTTACATAAAGGAAAAAACAACCCAATGGAGAAAAGGGTATTTGCTTAGGATGAAATATCTCCCTATACAACGCTGTGAATGTCTATCATTGTGCAACAGAAAAAGCCCTTACTAAGTGGAAGTTTAGGATGAAATCTTTAAGTCCCCCTGTCTCAAGGAAATCACAAAAACAACAATTCTTTGAGATACACTCCTCATTACTAAGACACTTGCTGACTTCACTTAACAGGATTATCTCCCAGTCTGTAAAAATACCCACAACATTGCATACAAAGAAGGAATAGGAGAAATAGTAGCCACAAAAAGCAAGGAAGTAAATGCAATAGAAAAGTACTGGAAGTCCTGGTGCTGACACCCTGATGGGCCGTTGGGGGCTGGAGTTAGTCCAGAGGCCTTCAGGTAACACCGAGGATAATCCTGAAACAGAAATCTTCAGTTGCCCTAGGACCTCCTTCTAGTCTATGTGACAGCTGGTCCTCTGTGAAAGGAAACTGGATTGCAACAGTGCCAACATTCCCAACACCTGAGGGTGAAGGGGGACTGACAAAGTCCTCTCCAGCAAGCCTGTCCCCTGAGTCTCATAAGGTTGGCAGCCACTCTAAAAGCTTTTAAGTGGCTCATGGAGCCCAGTGTTTTGTTCAGTATTGAGGAAAAAAATCTGAGGACAAGAAGCCTCTGAAATGAAAGTAAAGAGTTTGGAGGTCTGCTCCTACTCACCCTTCCAACCTTTCCTGGCCAATGCACCAAAATGTTAGTCTCATCAATGCACCACAATGTAGCAGTCTCTTGTTGCTTAGGGTATCATCTGACATTCTTTGTCTCACGACTAGGAAAATTAAGGAGCGTGGACCCCCAACGGTGAAGTTGGAGTGAAAGCTTAATGAGCAAAAGAAGAAAGCTCTCTGCTGCAGAAAGTGGGCCCGAAAGTGGGCTGCCGTTTCACAGCTAAATACAAAGGCATAAGGCACAAATTTCTGGTAGCTCCACCCCATCCTCCTAGTGCATGCACATGCAAGCCCTTAGCTTGAGTTACTCCATGTTGCTTTGTTCCCCTTACTGTGAATGTGTCAGAGGAGGGAATTTTCAATTGTGGGCACGTCTAGGCAAGTCTCCTGTGTAGACTTTTTTATCTATGTGGCTGTAGGCATGGTTTAGGCAAGCCCCCCTGTGCAAGTTCCCTTATCTGCAGTTTGATTTTTCAGGCTGTTCTTTTGTTTGAAAGAATTTTACTGAGGGCCCACCCTAACTGCCTGCCTGACGAGTTTCTTCCTTCCTTCTCTCTCAATAGCACCTGAATATCAGAGCCAGGGAAAGGCAAGAAATATGACAACAGTCATGAATATCACAAGGAGCATTTGAAAACCACTTTTTATCCAGTTTTCTCACTGGCCTAGATCCAACCAGAATAAGTCCCAGGAATCTAAATGGCCAACTTTAGATAAAGAGCCTTTTTCCTTAATTGATTATTCTACTTCGCCTAACAAATTTATAATGAAGTGTACTCGCTGTTGTGCAGATTTTGCCTTGACAAGCCCATAAATAATTGAGGGCCCTTTTATTACCTAAAATGATTTTAACCAACACATTTGCATAGGTCTCTTGGGCCTCTAAAGCTTGAGCTGTTTTACTCACTATTTGGGCCATATTCAGGGATAAAAATGTTTAGAACCATGTTTTAGTTTAGAAATACCTAGCATGGGTTAGAAATTCTTAGTCAAACCAGTAAAATCTGGTGGTAAGTTATTGAACAGATAAAATATGAGGAATTCCCCTCTCTGAGCCATAGTTTCTAAATGTGTGAGAAAAACAAACAATCCACACATAGTTCAGGGCCTAGTGTGAACACTAAGATCTGGTTCATTCACAGAGATATAATACTTGTTTAGTATGGAGAAACGGAGGGAGGCTTTACAACACATCACCCCAGAGTCAAAAACCACCACACAGAGGTCAGATGACTAAGTTCTTCTCTAGCACATTATCAGAAAAAGCCACACACCACAAACACCCAGCAATACCAACAATCCCTCCACATCCATCCTGAGAACCCCAACACCACCCAATGGCCATGATCCCTCAACTCCTGGAGCCAACCCCAAGACATAGGGCTGAACTTTGTTTTGGAGCCCCTTACCTTTTTCCGAAGAATCAAAACAATTAATAAAATCAGTCCAAAACCAATGAATGTCAAAATCCACAAATAATTGGCAAAGACAGCCGTCTTCTCAGATTCTGCAGAGAGAGAAGGAAAACATTAACAGGAAACCTACTGGTAAGGGCCAGAGAAACCACACAACTGCTGCTGGAATCTGGGTGGTTGTGTCATTTTCCTTGTCAGAGATTTAACCACCAGTCCTCTGCCACATGTCTCTGTGTCTCCATTCCTATCACATACACCTCCACATATCCAACAGTGTATGTAGCCCTTGTCAAAAACATGGAAAATGAATACCACATGCCACATACATGTGCCACCCTCATCTTCAAACCTTCTGTACTACAACACCATCTTCTACCCCTAAGTGCGTACCACCCAGACAGCCCCTCATACTATACATGCAAGGTATGTTTCCATTTCATACTCCCCATGGCCACACATAACAGTCCCTGCAACTCTGCACACACCACCCCAAGACCCTCCTAGTCCTTACTTCCAAGAATAATTCCTCTCAGGCCGGGCGCGGTGGCTCACGCCTGTAATCCCAGCACTTTGGGAGGCCGAGGCGGGTGGATCACGAAGTCAAGAGATCGAGACCATCCTGGTCAACATGGTGAAACCCC